GGTAAGGGAAGTGGGAGGGGATGGGGAAAGGAAAGAAGGGAATGGGATTAATATGAGAAAAGATAAAAATGGAAACAAAATCTTTATAAATAGGGAGGGACGGAGGGGTTGAAGGGAGGGCAGGGGAAGGGGGAAAAAATAAGAACCGAGAGAGATTATGTAAAGGTGCAAATTTCCAATGATGAATGTCATTATATTGAATACCTAAAATATATGAATAAAATTAATTAAAAAAGGAAAATACTGCCTCCTCCATATTACCAAAACCATATAAAAGTAAAAAAGATCTATGAAGAGCTTGAGTCCTAGAGTCAGATAAATCTATCTTCAAACTGGAACTCTAACCACTTCTAACTTTAAGCTCATGGGCAAATTACCCTCCTTCAGCATTAATTTCCTCGTCTGTAAAAGTGGGATAATAATAATAAGTACTTACATCACAAACACCTAAGGCCTTGTACGAATCTTAATTACAAAACAGTAAGAGCATGCATGTCCAACGTTTGGCAAGTCATCAACAAATGCTGGATGTCATCATAATCGCCACCGCCACCACCACCACCATAACTCTCTTTAAATAACACACCCTCCTTTTTTAAAGTTATTTTTAGGTAAGAAAAAATCCATGAATGTCCATGTATAACTATAACAATACCTTTGTGCAGAGAGATTCGGCTTCTGCTGTTCTTCCTGTGTCTAGTAGACTAGTGACCACTTGTGAGAGACACCACTTCTCAAGAGATTGGTTGTAATTTTCAAGAAACTTTTTGTCCTTAACTGTAAACAAAAAATGTCAACGTTACTTTCTTCTGTAATTGATAATGTACTCTCAAGGGTGTAACTAGTTGCTAAAAAAATTCACAGTTAAACTTATCATGCATATACAGTTTTTAAAACTTACATGTACTACTGGAAAAGCATAGACTACCTGACATGTGATACTATACGTTTCTGAAAATTTTCATGGTAAGAGTTTATGATTGAATAAGTTAAGGCCACAAATATTTGTGATTTACATTTAAAAATTAGTGTATCCTCAGTAACAGTGAAAATAATTCATTTTAAAAATTTAAAGATTTATTCCAGATAACTGAAGTAAAATAAACTGCATGAATTCAAATTATACAATGTGAAGGGTTCAACATAGTTATATAAAGTGACCATCACCACAATCAAGATAATGAACATATTAATCATTATCAAAAGTTTCCTCCAGCCCCTTTATAATCACATTTACCTGGAATTCATTCCTCTCTACCCTCTGTCACCAGGCAATTCTTAATAGGTTTTCTATCACAACAGACCAATTTACATTTTCTAAAATTTCATATAAATGGAATTACTTAGCACAAACTCTTATAGATGCTAACATAGTGAATTACATTCATTTTCAAATTTCTAGAACAAACCTCACTGGATCATGAAATACTATCTTATGTGTCGTTGGATTTGAATTGCTAGAGCTTTACTATAAATTTCTATATCTATGTTTATGAATGGTGCTGTTCTATAGTTTCCTTATAATATCTTTGTTTTTGGTATTAAGATAAGGCTTGCTTCATAAATGATGACAGAAAGAATTACCATTTCTCTTTGATTTTCTGGAAGAACTGGTATAGAATTGGTATTATTTCTTCCTCGAATGTTGGTAAAACTCATCAGCAAGGCCATTTATTCATGAAGTTTCCTTTGTAAGATTTTTTAACTACAAATCTGATGTCCTTCATAGACATATAGCTATTAAATTTATTTCTTCTTGAGCAAGCTTTGTGTTTTTCAAAGAATTCGTTCATTTCCTCTAAGTTTTCAAATTTCATAATATAAAGTTGCTCATAAGATTTTTATTCAGCTTTTAATAGCTACAGTGATGCACTTTCTTGGATTTCTAGCACTGGTACTTTCTGTCTTCTTTTTCTTGATCCATCTGGCTAGAAGTTTATAAATTTTACTGATCTTTTCAAATAAGCAGTTTTTGGTTTCACTGATTTTCTGTTTAATTTCATAGATTTCTACTCTTATCATTTTTATTTCTTTTCTTTTGCTTACTTTGGATTTAATTTCATGTTCCTATCTTTAGATTCTTAAGGCTGAAGCTGAGGTCATTAATATCAGGAAAGCCTTTTACCTTTTCTAATGCAGACAGTTAAGATTCTAAATTTCCCTCTAAGCAGTGCATTAAGAATACTACATAATTTGGATAGGCTGTGTTCATTTCAAAATATTTTGCAATATCTTTTTTTACTTTTCTTTAGGTTTGTGTTATTTAGAAGTATGTTATTTTACATGTAAGTATTTAAAATTTTCTAGTTATTTTTCTTTTGCTTATTTCTAATCCCAGTGTTATCAAGATAGCATACTTTATACAATCTGAATGCTTTTAAATTTACTGAAACCTGCTTCATGGCCCATAATGCAATGGGGGGGTTGGTAAACGTTCACTGAGTAGTTCTTAAAGAATAGACATTCTGCTGCGGTTTGGAGTGGTTAGGAGAAAGTGGCGTTCTCTAAATGTCAAAGACCTCGAGCTGGTTGACAGTATTTTTCAAGTCTTTATTATATCTTCGCTGATTTTATGTGCAATTGTTTCATCAGTTAGTGCAAAGCAACATTTCCTCAGAGGAGAAACAAATAAGGTGAGCTCTACAGCTCCCTCAGCTTACTGCCTGGAGAGTTTGCAGGCTGCAGCTCAGGAAAAGGGGACCCAAGTGGGCCCTGAAAACTCCTTGAGTTGAAGAGATGAGCTGGGAAAACCAGGAAAGCCAAAGTGGCTAAAGTTCCAGGACAGAGTACCTGAGAGGAAAGAGGTGAACAGAGAACTCCAGATATCTACAAAGGATCCCCTCAATTCTTCAGCTCAGTACCAATCAGCTTGTGAGGAAATTACTTGAGGTTTGAAAAAAACACAAAAGGAAGAGGAGAAACAATCTTCTGAGTTTACAGAACAGTGGGAATAGTTTGTGTTTCTAACAGCCACTGTGGAAAATTACCTAAAATGTACATAGCACTAGGTACTAAAGGATATTGCCAAAAGGTGGTGAGCACAACTAGGCCTACAACGAAGGTCTCCATGTGGAAAAAGACATCGAACTCAAGGATGTTCTATAGGGCCGATCCCACCGAAGAGGGTGAGGTAGACTGAGAAAAAGTGTGTCATGGTCCAGGGGCACAGGCTCACTCACAGGAAGACAGAACACTGCCTGCCTCTCTTCTCTTCCACCACATTACCAAAGGCTTATTTATAGCAGTTTCTTCTTCTGAGTACATCACGACTACCAAGAAAAAATTACTAATACAAAAGATACGGCTTAAAAAGACAGGGTAAGCATCATGACCAGATGTGGCAAGGATGCTGGAGTTCTGAGATAAGGAATTAAACAACTATGATTAATATGCTAAGGGCTATAATGGACAAAAGTAGACAGCACGAACAACAGATGGGGAATGTAAGCAAAGAGATGGAAATTCTAAGAAACAAAAATGCTTGAGACCAAAAACACTGAGACAGAAAAGAATGCTTTTGATGAGCTTATTGGTAGACTGGACATAGCTCAGGAAAGAACTTCTGAACATAAGGATTATCTCAACAGAATCCACAAAAACTGAAAATAAAATAGAAAAAGGACTGAAGGTAACAGAAAGGAATTTCCAAGAACTGTGGGAACACTACAAAAGGTATAAGTACTACACGTAATGGAAATCCTAGAAGAAGACACAAAAAAAGAACAGAAGATAAAACAATGATGACTGAGAATGTCCCCAAAGTAATGTCAGACACACCTACAGATACAGGAAGCCAACAAATAGAAAACAGTTAAAAATATGGCAGGTATTTAATCCAACTATATCAATAATCACTTGAATACCTATGGTCTAGAGACATTCATTAAAAAATTATCAGAGTAGATAAAAAATAAATACTTTTTTTAATCTGAAGAGTATATTTTAAAAATAATGATTTTTTAGGTATTTCTGACTTTCTACTTAAAATAAGTTCATTTTACTAAAATATTTCAAACATACAACACCAGTAAAACAAAAAGTCTACTTTTAAATTTTTTCTTTGGTAGTCTCTAAAGACGGGCAGAAATGATGTTTATTAAAAGATAAGGAGCCAAGCATGGTAACCCATGCCTATAATCCCAGCAGTTGGGAGGCTGAGGTAGGAGGATTATCAAGAGTTTGAGGCCAGCCTGGGCTACATAGTGAGTTAATGGCCTGCCTGAGCTATACAGTGAGACTCTGCCTCAAAACAAAACTCAAAACAAAACACAAATCAAACAAAAAAGATAGATGACCTAAAATTTATTTAGTGAACACTATTCATCAAACACACAAATAGGTTAATCAGTTAATCTGTTCATGATGCTAAATACAGATCACTTTTCACTGAAAGTATTTATAGAGTTACAGTAAAGACAATGTTGGCTAAATCTGACTAGTTTAACAGCTCTCTCGCCAACACTCCCAGGAAGATTGACAGCACAATTTCAGTGCTGGTTTTAGTACCGTCCAGTTCATCCCAAAACACAATCAAGTCTCAAAGCAGCTAAATGACACACAACAAAGATTTCAGCTAACAGAAAAAATTGGACTTCTGTATAGCTATACAAGTATGAACTCTTTAATGAATGCATTTTTGTAACAATATATAGTGAAGTAGTCTGTGTTCCTGATTTAATCACATTTGAGGAGCCTGATTTAAATCATGTATAAAAATGCTTCTTAAAACTTACTTGAAGCAGAAACAGCAGATAACAGTGCCAAGTATAAATCCATCCTCTTTGGCTGAGTGTTGTTCACGAGAGCCAGTTTATCATCTGCGTGACAGGCTGCCATCAGCCCAGCCCAGACAGCAGGGTCACCTAAAAACAGGAGAAAGTGTTGGAGGGCTTGCTAATATCAACATGGTGTGGGCAACTATGCAAATGAGAACAGGAGCTTATGAGTGGCCCCTAAAAATAAAAATTGTTATTCCAGAAAAATTCTACTTTCCTAAAAGCTACTTTCTACTTTCCTTTTCAGAAGACACACTGCTACATTTATCCCTCGAGATTTGCTATTTTTTCAAACACATCAGAGGATGAGAAATATCCTATTAAGCACTTTTCCATGGCTGGTTAGCTCAGCCGCCAAGAGTGCTGTGCTACTGTGGAAAGGGCAGTTTCACTCACTTTCACTAGACAGAAGGACAAGCCTCAAAGCCCGCATCTTTATCACTCAGCTCCTGCTTTAAAGGCTCAGCCACAGGACAAACAAGATAACACAATGTTTCTGTTCTCAAGAAAGCAGGGTCAAAGGAAAGGCTCAGCGTTTTGTCTATGCTCTATGAGGAAAGCATGAGTCGTTGCACCATTTTAAGTGAAGCATTAGTACGATTGCATAGCCTTCCACGGGCTCCTTCCCTCAGATATGGACAGCTGTGGGTCACAGAGGTAACAGAGATTAGGTGTGCGGACTCTTTAAGAATGTTATTTGTGAAAAGACAGAGGAGGATTTAGAACTTAGGAGGTTTTATTAAAAAATCTGGTTCTTATAAATTTTATTTTGCAGTTTACTTCGAATGTTAGTATTTTAGTCTTGCAACCGTTAAAAAAACAAATGGATGATTTTAAAATCTCACAAGGAAGTGCTGGTTAATAACACAGTTACTTAATTATACTTTTTAGCTTTAGTTAGTTTTATATTTTTTCTACCTCATTGGACCATCCAAAGTAAATCTATCAAATGTCTGTAATATATTTTACTTATACATGGTTACAATTGCTACAGATAGTATAAGAATCATTAAATATCCTATGCAGGTCAAAACTTTTATAAAAAGAAATAAATGTATACCTCCATGTTACAAAATAATGTCTGCCCCAAATAACTACTACTTTAACACTAAGATAAAACCAAATTCCAAAACAAACAGCGGGGGCCATGCCCTAGAATTCATGATGAGATCAAATTACTGTATGATGACAGCAACATGCTGAACCTTAGAGCTTGGTTTCAGTCTAGCAATTAACTGTGTAGCAGCTTTTCCTTTGGGATTCATTGTTCTGTAAAACAAGGGCAACTAAATTAGATGATAGCTAAGGTGCTGTCAGGTCTAACATCCTATGATTACAACTGATGTAGGCTTGGCTTCTGAATAGAGACCAACTTCTAACATTAAGTAACCAAGCCCTTTAGGGACCTTATGGTATTATTCAGTTTGTATGGGGTGGAGGTGGGGACATTAGGTCACAGCAATTTCTTCAGTCACAATAAAAAAGAACTGCTGTTGCCAGGAATTCTTCATAAACAATCAGCAAGCCAAATTACCTATGAAATAAAGTGATTCTAGGATAATATATAAGCTGCAAACCTAAACCTTTTAAATATAAGTTGTTAAAAATTAAAAATACCTTTAAGTATCCCAGAAGCACAAATCTAGCAGAAACTGAATTTTCTTTCCTTCAATTATAAATTCTTGGGGCTATATTTAAATTCCTGAAAAGGTTTCTTAGACTAGCATTTGTACTTTACTCAACTTAAAGCTCTTCAAGGATTAGATATATGGCCACTATCCTACAATTACATTCACTTTCATTGGGCTCCAAGGCCAACACTCAGGCTCTCGTTTTCACCACCTCACTCCCTATTTTAAACATCTTATGTGATGACTCTGCTTCCTTGAGATGATACAGAAGAAAAATCAGAAATCACTAGAAAGGATCTTATCTGGGAGCTCTGCATTGTCAAGTTCATATCCCTGATAGAATCAAAGGCTAAAAGATCTTCTATCCTTCTGGATATACAATAAGGATTCTTAAGAGTAAATCTATCTAATACTTGATGACCACCTCTAAAAATTAGAAACTTAACAATATATAACACAGACATGTTCAAATGTTTAGGTGTCTTTTTGTTCAAACTATGTCAAAATGAAAGAAAGCATAAATTACAGAATGTTGGTGTTACTTATTTTATAAAATAATCCTTGATGTTGATAATGTTCCAGCTTAGTTGGGATCCACTGAACACGTTCTTTGTGCAAGTGCTTCCCAAGAGTGCCTAGCCAAACAACAGCATTCTGATCTAGTAGATGTTTGAAATATTCTAGGCGAATAAATTTTTGATGCTATATTCCATATTTTAAAAAATAGTATGAAGAAATTTGCCTTGTAGCCCTGCATTGCTAGACGTTTCAGTCCTCCAAGTGGCAAGGAAACATGTGGAAGGAGTAAAGTGCAATTCCTCATTACCTTTGTGACCAACAGCATACATATGCAACTCCTGGTGAGAACTAGTAATTGCCAGCTAAGGTAAGGTAATGAATGACCTTAGCATTTCTAATATTTACCAAAAAAAAAGACACAGCCCTACCCTTCAAGAAGTTATCTACGTATAGGTCACTTCCACCAACAGATGAGCGAATAAAGAAAATGTCTATTTATTCACAATGGAGCACTACTCTGCCATAAAGAAAGATAAACTTGAGTCTTCTGTAGGAAAATGGATGCACCTGGAGAACACAATTCAGACACACAAGCTAAAATATGGCACAGTTTCTCTTATATGAGAACACAAAATATAAATAAAGAGCAAAATAAAACATAGACAATAGGAAATAGGGAGCTAGGTCTTTTGTAAATGGAAAGGAGGCCAAGAGGTGGGGTGAGGTTGGAGGAATGGCAGAAGGGGATGAAAACAAAAATGAGCTGCATTCTGTCCATGTAGCAACTCTCCAGAAGGACTGCAATCATTACATACTGCACGTATGTACTATAAAGAAATAACAACTGAAAAAGAAGCTTAACTACACATAAAAATAAACATGATTCAATAATTTAGCAGTTATAGGTAAACCTCATCAACCCATAGAAAAATGGAAATAAAACCACTTCTTGAAAATGTATCATTCAGGTAATAAAAAGTATCTTTAACCAGACATTCCCTTTAGGCTGCTCAGTAACTGATTTCTTAATTACGAGCAGCCAAATGCAGACAATCAAATAATATAAGAAACCTTGAAACATTTTCTTAAAGTTACTTTTTAGCTTATTTCATGGAAATATTAACTTTGGTCCTATGACAAATGTAAAATTGATAGTCTCAATTAATAAAATGGAGTATAGATCATATTTACCTGGAGAAAGGAGAGCTGCCTTCTGAATGGTCTTTAGTGCAACATTTTTTTCATTTTCTGCCGAACTGCTTCCCATTGCCAACTGATTCACTGCAGTGTACAGTAACGCCTTCTGTGTGAGAAAAAGAACTGTTAACCGCTGCTCTTCACTGCTCCCTGCCTTCCATGCTGGCTTAAGGACTCTATTTGATAGGATGTGACCCTTAAAGCTATAAAGAAAAATTATTTTATTATTTTGTCTGTATTATTTGTCCTGGGGTACACTAACCTTTCCATGATTTGAATCCAGAATATGAGCCACATTTCCTGCTACAGCACCTCCCTATAATATAAAATATTAATTATATAAACAAATGCAAACACTTTCATGAAACAGTAAACATTAATACCAACAAAATCTAACATTAAATCATTTGACAGGTTGTTTTATCACACAACTTTTAACTCCTTAAGTATCAACTTATTATTACTGTTTTAAAAGAACTGTTTGTTTTTTAGCAAAGAATAAAAAAATAAGGGCCAGGGATTTAGCTCAGTGGCATCGCGCCTGCCTTGTGAGTTTGATCCCCGGTATCAAATAAATAAATAAATAAATAAATAAATAAATAAATGAAAAATTGAAAAAAGATCAGTTTGATCATTTCAACTTTGCTATTAAAATAGTCACTAAAGGTTCAAAAGTTACACTGGCACTGAACAAATGTACAGATTTTTTGGCAATATAAAAGAGACTAAAGAACTAAGAGAGAGGGGCTAAAGAGCAATATCATAAAAACGAGATAATATGGTCTCACTTCATGAAAATATGTAATATTTTTTAAAATCTCCATGGTCTCTAATAAAATGAATAACTAAATTTCAGGGCACTATAAGGCTTATCATTGATCAACTCAATACTAAAAATAAAAATATATTAAGTATTCACAGAGTCTTCAGAAAGTCAACTTGAAATCTACAATTTAAAAAATTCAACTGGGTGTGATGGTGCACACCTGTAGTCCCAACACTTGGGAGGCTGAGGCAGAAAGATTGCTGGGAGTTCCAGGCCAGCCCACACTTAGTGAGTTCAAGGCTAGCCTGAATTACAGAGGGGGACTGTCAAAAATAAATAAATGAAATAAAATAAAATAAAATTTGTTTAAAATGGAACTCTTTCAATTAAAAAATAAAAATTGAATTAAGACATTTTACTGGATAATGAAGTGAATTATAAAAGTTTTATTTTACGTCAGAGGTACACTGTATCTTTCATTTCCTATCAGAAGTGTGTCAAAAGTGCTTTCAAAACTGTACTTTGAACATAAAGGATACTAAAAACATTTAAATTTTTAAAACGTCAATAAAAAGCAAATGTAAATGAATTAAGAAGAAGAAATGCAACACAGCAGAGTGGAAAGAGAATTTACAGTAGACGTTAGACCTGGGATTCGATTCCATTACTACAATTACTAACTGAGATTTCGCATGAGTTACTTGAACTTCTGTGTTTCCAGTTTCCCACTCTATATAAAGTGGACAGAACCTGCTGCTACTTCATGTGACTGTTAAGACTAAATGACAACACATAGGGATGTTTAGCATAGCAGCTGACATAGTACTTCATTCCAGTGTCTAGCAAAGGTAGCATTCTAGGCTTTTTGAACCAACCCACCCACTGAAAATAACTAAAAATGTGAGATAAGACTCTGCTGCTCAAACTATGGTCTCTGTTAAAAGCATGTGGATGATGTTAGAAATGCAGAATACTGGAGCCCACCCCAGACCTGCTGAATTAGAATATGCATTTTTAACCAGGATTACTAGATAACTTCAATTGCAGATTAAAAGTTTGAGAAGCATATCTTAAAAAACATATTCTCAAAAGCACTGAATAACTGACAAGTTATTAAAAACTTAGGCCAAAACTGAAAAGGAAAACTAGAATCTAGAGACCAAAGTGAGCAAGAAAGGCCACTTCTGACATTTGTAGATCCTAACAAGTTTTAATTTTCATCTTGAAGGGTCTCATGGGTCAGGGGGAAGAAATAAAGGTCCATGGTCCACACAAGGAGGAGAGTATACAGGAAACTCACATCAAAACAGGCTAAGACTCCAAGGGGCTGTTCTGTCAGGTTCAGGAGGAATCAGAATTAAGTCTGGTCTCCAATGACCTTAAAACTCAAGCAGAGAGTAATCTGGTTGAGCCAGAAACCTGAAGTTCTAAATTGGCAAATTTGTCAAGCACCTGACAGAAGCAAGCACAAATTCTCTCTATAGAAAGGCACCTTAATCCTAGGCCTCAAATTATTCCTACTAAAATTTCCACATACACACAATCAGGTGAACAAGCAAAGCCACCGTAAGTGAAAACCAGACACCGAGCCACAAACATTCAAATATTGGGAATTCTAAACATGACACACATTCAAAACATACTAGCTATTGTCATTATGTTTACCAACTAGTCAACTGATCTATGAAAGGACATATTAACCATAGAAGTTTTATAATATATGTCTGAAAATATCTGGCTACTATGACTAAAATACTATAATCCTTCAAATTATATTATATATCATATTATATATTATTATATGAGGGATTATATTCCTTCAAAGAACATAAACGACTACATATTTATATTTACATTTTTGGACATTAGCCATGTTCCACTCTTAATGTTAATCTTTAACTATTTAAAAACACAATAGCTGATGCTTGTTAAGTTTCAAACACTACTGCACAGGCATTAACATGACCTGTATGTATTCCAGAAGGTTGTCCTACTCCTCTGTATCTCCTACTACACCCAGAACAGTACAACCCTACATGGAGGAAACTCAGTCTAGTACTTGTATGAACAATGGAAAATTTGGTTAAGTGACAAAACTCCCTTTGCTGTATTATCTTTCAGAAAAATAATGCTATACTTTAAAATTATATTTACTATCTCACAAATCATTTTATCTTTATCTCAAAATTTAGAGCATTACTCACCTTTGCATTTTGCTGGGCATACTGAGCGACAACTCGGGATAACAAAGCCCAAAGAGCCGGGTCAGCTGGGTTACTAGAGATCATTAAAAGGAGTGGCCTTAGAGAGGGAGCTATTTTAACTACAGACAGTACAGGCAGTTAACACTTCACTGAGTTTAAACCTCTTAACATCTGAGATAATTTCACATTACTTCTCTATGTTGGAAAGTTCCTTAAATTTCAGAAAACATACTTTTATATCTTCTACATACATTAAGCATTCTTAGGAAAATGCAAAAGAAAAACCAGTAATATGATTCTAAAACCATGAGACAAGTAAGAAACGGTAAAACACAGAGATTTAAAATAATAGAATAAATAATGTTGTATAACAAGAGAATGTACTTTAATAGAAATGACATCATAAGGAATAACCTTTATGTTAAAATAATTTAATTTTTTAAAATATAATTAATCAGTAAAGATTGTTAATAAAAATGCAGAAGAAATTACACAACATGCTGAAAATAAAATAATAAAATAAACCTGTTGCTAATGGCAGCTTTATATTTTCCAAATTTTGAAAACAATAACGAATATTTAAGTGGCCAAACATTCCTAAAGCCATTAACCTGTTCTGTATCAGTCTGTAGTATTACAAACTTAGGAATTAAAGGCTTTTATATGAAAATGAGTTTGGGGCCTTCAGCCAAACTAAGGGCCAAATTTATCAATTGAATTTTAAAAAAAATCTTTATAGGGAAAGTAACAGATAAAGTCAGTTGCCAGGTCTTATGTACAATTTCATAAAACCAGAGTCATTTCCAAAACTATATGCTTGGCTCATTTTATCATTTATTTGGTTTTTGTTTGTTTTTTGTTTTTTATTTTTTGAGGCAGGGTCTCCCTTTGTAGTTCAGGCTGGCCCTGAACTCACTATGAAGCCCAGGCTGGCCTTGAACTCATGGCAATCCTCCTGCCTCAGCCTCCTGAGTGCTAGAATTCCAGGCATGCACAACCACGCCCCGCTCCTTTTACAGGTTTTAATAAAGCCCAAATGTCAAACACAGTCACACCAAGCATAGTGGGCGCCCAACCCACAGCGCAGAGTTTACCTGTGAACAGCTTTAGATGCTTGTCTCTGCACAGCCACACTGCGGCCTTGCAGTGCGTGGATGGCTGAAGTGAGAAGGCACCTCCGGTAGTCACCATCTTTGTGTTTCACATGCTTCAGTAGCTCATTAAGCGCTGCCTTTGACAGTGTAGCATCCTGCATGGCCAAGCCTAGGGCACAGAGGGTTTGAAGGCTTTCTGTGCTTGGTTCCTTTAAGATAGAGCTGTAAATACATTTTTTAATTATCTCTGGCCATCAATACAGTAGTCACTGTCTATAACTATTAAAAGATATTTAATACCAAAGGCTATTTACTTAAAGCTTCACCAAACTGAGCCAATTTTAAGATTAATATAGAAAACAAATTTCTAGGCTTTTACTGAGGCAAAGTGCCAATGGTCTTTCATCATCAACAACAGCTAACTTTTTTTTCTGGTCATTATACTTACATTTTAGAAACAAAACAAATACCTAGCCTCTCTGGGTCTCAGTTGTAGATAAATGATTAGAACAGTTTGGGTAAAATGTTTAGTTTCAATAAAGTCCTAGAAGGTATGAGTAATAAAAAAAAATCTGTTTGACCTAAGATCAGATTTTCATCATTCTGATAAGCTTGGTCCTATTTGCCTTGTGGTACTGAAACCAGTATTTTATATAATAAGCACAAATTGTATCTATATCCGCTATGCTCCAAATGAATACTTGAATCATTTAAGGAGAATCTGCATGTAAACAATTAGCATCTTTTCCTCTTTTAAGTGTGAAATATGATTTTGCCTGAACCCTTGTTAATTTAAATGAAGAACTTTTATCTCTCTACAAACAATACAAAAGAAATATTTATAACATTACAAAATATCACCTACCCATTAATAATTACTTTTTGGAAAGGAAAATTAAATGTTTTGCACTTAATTTTGACAAACAGGTATAAAATCATGAATTTTCATAAGCAACTCTGGAGTAAACAGCTAACTTACAGTATCCATAATAACTCTTTATACTAAAGAGATAATAGATGTAAGTATACAAATACAAGTTCTATTGGTGTAATTTTTCTAAAGATTTACCTTTACATGAACTTTTTATTAGGTTAACTTGAAAAAGAAAGAGAGGAAGAAAATAATTTCTTTGGGAATCCAAAAGACAAAGAAAAACAGCCAGTTACAATTGGTTTCATTAAAAGTTTAGTGAAAAGACAAGTGATCAATTACTCTTTTTTTAATTGCTCTTAAAAGTATGTTTAGGGCCAGGGATTTAGCTCAGTGGTTCCGCCACCTGTCTTGCAAGTGCAAGGTCCCAAGTTTGATCCCCAGTACCAAAAAAAAAAAAAATTTACACAGAACAAAGGATGATTTTGAAGGGCTGGATGGATGCTGTCAATTCAGAACCAGGTAATCCCAAGTCCCTTTTGTTCACCCCAAAATTCCTAAAACATTAAGAACTTCATTTCGTCTTGCTCAACCCAAATATGTAAGACTCCAGTCTCATTAACATATACGTCAATATACATACCATTTGAATAGCAGTGACTTGGCTACATCCAGTTTTCCTTGTTTATATTCTGTTATTGCCAGAGCTGTTAAGATATGGGCTTTGTCTTGCTCTGATTCAACAACAGACAAAGCTCTCTCGTAGGCTATTATATCACATTGGAAAAAAATATGAAAGCAATTCTGAATAACACAGTGTGGAATTTTTACTTTCCTAATCTTATTTTTCAAAAAGATAGAACTAAAATCATATCTTATTGTTCCCTTGTTTCTAAGCATACACAATAAAAAATTTATAATCGTCTACCTTTGTTTAGCCATTCTAAGGTGACTCTGGGGGTATCATTAGAATTACCATGTAACAGTCCAACCGCCAACCTCAGAATCTCCTAGGAGGTCCGCATCACTATCTTTTTTTTACTTTTTATTTTTGGTACCGGGGATCAAACTCAAGACCTTCGCTTGCGAGGCAGGCGTGGTGCCACTGAGCTAAATCCCCGGCTCTGCATCACTATCTTTAAGAGTCAAGTTAGGCCAGAAATAGAGGCCTCCCCCCACTGAGACATCACCAAATTTCCCAAGCCAGCGACTCTGTCAAGCTGACAATACTTAAATGAACTGCACGCATATGGGCCAGGCCTATATAGTATGTATTTAAAAGTTTACTCAGTTGACATTTTTTAAAAAAACAAAATGTACTTTTACCAATGATGACTGAGATCTTTATTTATCAGCAAGTTTTACTTAAGCAGTATAAAATAGTAAATACCTGCTTTCGAATGCTAGCTCATACAGCTGCCGTAAGTGGTCTAGGGCCTCAGTTCCCTCATCTCTACAATAAATACTCAGCTGTATAACTCTAGAAAAACTACAAGAACCATTCATCATCATAACGTAGTAAAGGAGATAATACACACAAAGGATCTATTATGGGTCCTGACTCGCACTCAGATTTTAATAAGCATTATAACCCTCACCCCATCTCAGTATTACATCCTTTGGTGTGTGAGCTCATCATAATTGAGGGCTACTCAACTCTGGAAAAGATGTGTCCCTTAGCTTCAAGCCATCTACTTACCTTTGCTGCTCTCTGTATACAGCCCCTTCATAAATAAAGCCAAAGCGAAACCTATGATGTCTTCTAACTCTTCAAGGGGTGTTGACTTAAAAGCCTGGATAGCTTTATCATATTCACCAATGGAACTAAGAAGCAAAATACAGCTTACTTTTACTGTCAAAAATACTTTTGGTTATATCATCAAAATATAGAGACTTAAGACACAAAGATTCTGTTAATAACTCCATCCGCACTTGCTTTTCTATGGTGGCATTTCAGCAAACCATAATCTACTAGTGTTAACACTGGAGAAAAGACTAAAAATAGAAGGCAATAGGACGTACTGGGGATTTTAACTTCACATTTTGCTTCTTTCAAGTACATGGGAAAATGACTGATTTTGTTAAATTATATTTTGTTTAAACAAATTTTACTAAAAATCCCAAGTTCCTAAGAATAACTTTAAGTAGGGCTGGGGATTTAGCTCAGTGGTTCTGCCTCCTGCCTCGAAAGCCCAAGGATGCGAGTTCGATCCCCGGTACCAAAAAAAAACCAGAATAACTTTAAGTTGACTTTTACACAGAACTCTTACTTTTAAGCTTGATACATTAAATATTATTCTGAGTGTAATTCTAGCATCTTTGACAACGTTAAAAGGTCATAAACTGCTTAGAATCAAACCTAGCCTTTGTGTAAACTATTTATCTGCACATTGAAGGGCATATACATACCCTAAAATTCCAGACAAAACCATGTATCTTTTTTGTATTTAATAGGGAAAAATGTAAATTATAATAAATGATGTTAATAACAGCAGAATAACAAACTTGGTTATTTAAAAATAAAAAGGAGTTATGTAAGCTCAGTTGCTAACATCTGAATAGAAATACTACATCTCTGAGATGCTTGTCTCTGGTATTCATCACTATAATTAAAATCTTTTAAATGTGTAATTGGGAATCTTTTATAAAACCTTGTTAATTTTGAAGGACATAAGTAGGAGCTAAAAAATGAAGACAACATTTGCTTCTAATAATTTTATAAAAGCAAATAAATTTATAAAATCAATAAAATCAAATTTTGATAAATACTTTGATAAAGGAAACAGGACTACCTTAAGTTGCTTACTTTTGTGGAGGGAAAAATGGAACTGCAGAAGGGCAGAATGTGATTTTAACTTTACCTATAACTTTTTCTTTGTGAAAAATAAAAAACAAAAAACCCTGAAGCAAATTGGCAGAATTTTAATACTACTTGACTAGTAACTATTCATTAATTTATACTCTATACCTTACTTCATGCTGCATGTCCAATATATTTAATAATAAAAACAAATCAGAAAATAGGTGACTTGCTTTCAATGGGAGGTAATGATTTTTCTTCTAAAACACTTACATTACATATCAATGCTAAAAAGAACAGATATTTTATCCTACCCAATTTCTTACAATATCTATTCTCTGCTTTAACAAAATCTTGGAACTAACAGAGCACTACTCTTTTTTTGGTTTTTTTTGGTACCAGGGATCGAAATTGGGTCCTTGTCCTTGCGAGGCAGGCAGCAGAACCACTGAGCTAAATCCCCAGCCCACCACTACTGATTCTTAAATGCAACAGTTTAGAAGAAGTAAAAGGAGAGGTCAGAACAGTAACATTTTCCTGTTTTAATTATATGACTCAGTTATAAAAGTTATAGAAGAACTGACTACCACCTGTTTCTATTATTGATGCCTTAAAAGATGAGGACACTGATCCCAAATCATCAAACTATAGTTTTAATGTGCTCCAAATTGGACCATTCAATTTTGGGGCAGTGGTAAACAGGGGAAATGCCTCTTCAACTTGAGCCAAAAACCTTCCTTCTTAATGTAATGCTTCTGTTCTCTGGTCTTAGTTGTACCTTCTAAAGCAACTGGCTTTTAATCTTTTTTTTTTTTTTTTTTAATTTTATGTTTTTAGAGTCAGAAGTCTGTGAGAATCTAAGGAAAAATGTATAGCTCTCTCTCTAACTCCCCCAAACTTTTGTGTAATATCTCAAAGGAGTTCTTGGACCCCAATATTCATCCTCAGTGATCAGAATAAGCAAATCAGTATAAACCTAATTACTCTTCCAGTTAACTAGGTTTCTACTATTAGACAGCAACTGCTTCTCTTCCAAATATTATCTTGTCCAGCCCACAAACCATGAATCCTAATTCTACTCTTACAAGGTACACTGCTGTTAGGTATCATTGTAGGTATAAGAAAGTATTAACACAGCCTGGTATCATTATAGGTATAGGAAAGTACTAACAGAGGGTGGTACTGTGGGAATAATGTATTCTACATGCTCACTACTATGGATACCGGTCATCATCTCATCAGTCCCACAGGCTTCACAGAAAAATCCTACAGATTCACAGAATTTATAGGAAAAAAATACACTTACCATAACAATCTGCCATAATTTCTTACGGTAACATTATAAGTATCTCGGTCTTCTGCTGTCTGTAACAACAAAATTGCCCTTAAGAAAAGGACAAGGTATTTTAAATTATCTATGTGCAACAGCAATGTTTCCCCTTCCCATCTTTAGCTGAACCCAGAGATTTCTGCTTTCTTCATTTAGTTCTACTAATTCTTTAATGCTAGTTATAATAGCTTATTCACATTTCATTAAATTGATGCCATAAAAACACTTATACATTTTAGATTTCAGGAATAACTTGAATAAAATAACCTTAGTTCTTATGTGAAATAATTTATCACATTTTAGTTCTACATGTTCTAAAATTTTTCATCTAAATGTGGGAAATGACTGTGTCATGGAATTAATTTTGATGCATTTAAGTTTATAGATGATACTCCTAAAAATACTTGTGCGTTGCACTTTGAGTTCAGAAGGCAGAAATTGTTTCCATGTGACCTTTCCTGTACACACAGAAAAACTAAAGGAATAGCCATTAAAGCTCCTCGAGGAGTAGAATATATACACCAACATGTGATAACCTGTATTTCTTTCTCATGCGCCATTATCTATGGGCAAGCAGGGAAATGAGTTTAACAACCAAAAAGAACTGGATATTTAATAAGATTTTTGTTTTTTCCCTGTACAAAGAGGATTTTCCGAGGAGTAATATCTAAGAAAGCCTTTTTATCCTCCTGATGTTGTTACATGAGAAAAAACTGTTACAAAAGCCTAAAAGTATTATAGAGATTCAAAACTATACTTCTGACCAGGCATGGTGGCAAATGCCTGTCATCCCAGCTGCTCAGAAGGCTAAGGCAGGAAGACTGTACGCTTGAGGCCAGCCTGGGAAACGCAGCAAAACTGTCTCAAAATAAAACAAAAACAAACAAAAACGGCTGATGGTATAGCTCAGTGGTGAAGCACCTGCCTAGCATGCATAAGGCCCTATGTTCAATCACAGTACCACAAAAATAAATAAAAACCGTACTTCTGGTTAAATTTAGGCCTAACGTGTGGTTTTAAGTCTCATATATTTGTTTAAGGCAGAAAACAGCAATCATAGTCAAGAAAGAATAGTTCATAAGTGGCTGTGGAGTTCCCATTTGAAGTTTAAGGTATAGCCAGTTAGATTCACAATATCTGCAATAACCACAGTATGTAGAAAACAATAGCAAACTCTAAAACTGCCTAGTTTTCTTTGTTCAAATATCTTGCTCACTTGCATACTACCATATTTACAGTTTTTTTATTGGTAAGTTTATTGACACTGAAGGACAAAACTGTGGCTTTTCATGAACCGCTCTCCACATCTACCTCAAAAAATAACAACCTCATCAGGCAGCCTCCAGTGCCACCTAGTGATTACTCCTTTGAACTACACAGAGATCCATGAAAGCACAGGGCACAGTACTTAGAAGACCTCAATTACACCTGTCAACGCTTCTTCTACATATTTACTTGGATTTGAGGCAATGGCCTTCCTTACAGGTTAGACAATCGGGTCTTTTAGCTTGTCATCATGAGATGAATAGTTATTTTCTTATTCACCCGTCTACTAATTTGCAAAGAATAAAACTTTAAGTTGGTTTCCTTTCCCACCCTTCTCCAGGCTGGTCATTCCATGCCAGCACCCTGGCTTTCTTGTTTCTTCAATACCCCAAGCCGCTTCTGCTGTGAGCACTGGCTCTTGCTGCTCCTTCTGCCCCGATGACTCAATGGCTGTGGCTTTAATCCCTCCTCAGTAAGCCCATGCCTCTCAAACCCATCCTGCCCCTGTATTCTCTGGCCCTCTACCCTACTTTCATCCTTTCTTAGCAATTATTATTTCACGTAAGTTTTGTAGCTGTGGAGTAGTCTCCCATCAGCAGAACATAAGCTTAGGAGAAACAGGGCTTCTGTTTAATTCACTGCTAAATTACCAGTGCCAAAGGTACTGTCTCCCACACAGTAGCACAAGAAATATTTATCGAAGTGAACAAATATATAGTAGATATGAAAATGATTCAAGCAAATACATCAAAATGTTGTCGTTTCTTATCTGACTGAAAAAAGTGCTCTCCTGCTCGCTCAGCAATAGAAACCAAAATACAGCTGAAAATTTGGGACTGCTTCATCCTCTAAAATGAACTAGTAATACACAATGAAGACCAGGAAAGGAGTCAGAGCATTTAAAAATAGTCTCATTAAAAGAATGAGACTATATTTAAAGACTGATAAAACAACAACCACATTTCATTTAAATGCAGCTTACCTTTGGTACATGTCTGCTGCTTCCTTTTTCAGTTGCAGATGTTCATTCAAGTAACCCAACATCGTGAAAGCTGGAGCATAATTCTGAATTCTTTCTGGAAATCCAGAAATACCTTTATGTCATGTACATACTAATATGATCACAAAAATATTAATTTACTTTTTTTTCTAGTATTTTAAAAACCAGATTACCTATTGAGATCACCAGCATTACTAAGAAAAATGATCTAATTTTATCTTGAATATAACAATAATCGTGTTAGAATTCACTTCAATTACTGAATAATACTTAATAGTTATATACGGTTTCCAGTTACGTTTTGGAGTTTAAAAAGTTTTATCCTTAAAGTATAATACATTTGAAATTGGAACTCATGTTAAAATTAGTTATCATATTTATAAGAAAATTAAGGGTTTTTGGCTAATTGTTTAAGCCTTCCTGTGATTAAATTTATTAATAATTTCTCTTGGTTTGATCTGTATATCTTTAAGAAAAAATAATTCAGTATTGTACACTAGAAAAAGAAGATAGTGTGGATATTTTCAACATTATGGGTTTCCAACATTTACAGCATCTTGAAATTTTAAGGTCAAAACATCATACATCTACTAACACACACTGGGAGAAAGAGAAACACATTTAATCTAGTCTACTTAAAAGCAGTATTGAGAAGTAAAGTTTTGAATCCCTTAAACTGTGTAATAAAGTACAATGTAGTCATATCTTATATGATAGCTAGGTTCTACTATCAAAGTTTATGGTGAAAATCAGAGTTAAAATTATTCTTGAGAAATCCCTATGGTCATCATACAAGAAGATCACAAAACTGAGTCAGTGTATGAGAAGATCCGTGCCTTCACATGTCAGGGTACCCTAACCCAAAACTCAGTCAGACAGACAAAGGATAGTCTGCATTCTCTCTCGTATCACCCTCTCTCTTTTCTGCTTCTACTTTTCCTATGTATGTGTATTTTGCCAGGCAACCTCATAGAGTTGAATTTGTTAAGTGAATATATGATATAGATCGATGATGTAGTTTAAAAACCCAGCTATGAATGAATATTTATGTAGATGATGTATTTTTTTTTAGGTATCTAAATTTTGCTGAAAACTAAAGATTTACCTTTTTATGTAAAGCCTTCACAAAAGTTATTCATGTGGGAAGAAAAGCATTTCCTCAGCTCTAGGTAATTTTTAGAGTTATTCATTTTGACATAAAATGGAAATATCTCAAAACTCTATGCTTGTAAACTAATTACTTTCTTCTCCACAAGTGTTCCAGGCTAAAGTCATATCTTACAGAATACCAACTTTAATTTGGAATGAATTAATTTTAAATTTTTAAAACTTATTTCCATAGTTATTCAAAAATTTGGCCATTGTGATCCCAGGCTCCTAGGGCAGAGAAGCTCAGCCGGTCCCAGCACCTGGAAGGAAGGTCCCCCCCCCACCATCCCAGGCTCCTAGGGCAGAGAAGCTCAGCTGGTCCCAGCACCCGGAAGAAAGTCCCCCCACCGCCATCCCAAGCTCCTAGGGCAAAGAAGGTGAGCCACATGGGCGCCAGAAGCAACACCCCCCCCCCATGGAAATGAGAAGACACATAAACAAGTCTCAAAAACAGACTTCTGGATCACCTACAGCAACCCCAAAGGGAAACAAGATGGAACAATCTGATACTCA